TTCCCTCTCTCTGAGCTCCTGGCTAATCCCAACCTCTCTGAGGAGGACGTTGAACAGATCAAGGAAATTGCCAATATTACCCCCTCTACCCCTGCTCCAAAGGCTAAGTCGGGCCCTAACTTTGAGTCGGTCCTTCCCCTTCCCCAACAGCAGGATGGATGGAGCCATTCAGATGCAGATCTCACCTCTGCCCCCCTTCCTGAGATTCGAAAATTCGGAGATGTTGTTGGTGTTCGCCTCATGCAACAGGCCCTTAATACTCTGAGTACGACTGAGCTTAACAGATACGAGCGCCAACTTCGGCTGGAGGAACAAGCCGTCACTGAATCTTTGGAGAAACTTCGGGCTGCCAACGAAGCCCGCGGAGGTTCCATCCCCACGCCTCCCCCCCTCAAGGCCCTGATGTGGAAGTGGCATTTGGCTCTGACTCAGGCTATCAAGCAACGTCAGGTGGAGAGCGCTCCCACGGCCATTCAAGGGCTTGACGGATCCGATATCAATGGCCTCACCATGGATGTTGAAGCCGATGACATTAGTGAATCTCAGACCCGAGCGGAGAGGAATGTCGACAAACTTCTTTCTCTCATCGATCCTGAGCGCCTGTCCATCCTTACCATCAACGAAGTTCTTCGCCAGCACGCTGGATCTACCGGAGATGGTATCAAGGCTGGTAAAGCCATTTCCTCCTTGGGTCGTGACATTGAACAAGAGTATGGCCATCAAACTTACTCTCGGCAGAGCAAAAAGAGCAAACAACACAAAACTTGGCTGACCATCAAGGCCAACCAACAACTAGATGATAGTGCTATGTATGACATGGAAAAGAGGAGCGAGGCCACGAGGTCATTGAGGGAATCCGGTGAACTGGAGCATTACGGTATCCGGTCTTACTTTACCCTTTCTACCCGTACCCGCATCGGCGGCCTCCTTATTTCCATGCTCCTGGATTGTGCTAAGGTCATGGTAGATGGGGATGAGGTTTCCGCCATGTACTTGAGTGTTTTGATCCAGCGTGGCCAGCGTCTCGGCGTCATTGGGTTTCATCCCAAGATCCTTTCTTATCTCTCCAGGGAACGAGTGTCTGAGGTAAGGAACTTTGCCGAGCCTTTTTGATGGCTTTAACTGATATATCCGCTCCCATTTTATATAGTCCTTGGATCCTCGGTACCTTCCCATGCTTGTTCATCCCCGTCCCTGGGTGACCTATAACAACGGAGGCTATATCACTAAGCCCTCCTATTGTATGCGCATCAAGGGCAGTCGGGAGCAGCTCGAGTACTTGAAGCAGGCCGGATCCCAGGAGCAGATGAATGTGGTGCTAGCCGGTCTTGATGTCCTGGGATCCACCCAATGGAGAATTAATCGGCCCATCTTTGATTTGATCCTCAAGTCGTGGAACACAGGTGAAGCTTATCCTTCCATTCCTCGGTACATTACGAGCCCAGTTCTGCCCAAGAAGCCTGTGTCCCTTACGGAAGAGGAGACCGCTGATACCTCCAAAGTTCAACAACACCGAAAAGAGATAAAGCTCTGGTACCGGGAGTGCCAACTGGCTCAACGTGAGTATCAGAATGCCCATTCTCAGCGATGTGATGTCAACTACAAGGTCGAGATTGCCCGAGCCTTCCTCAATGAGTCACCCTTCTTCTTCCCCCACAACCTCGACTTCCGCGGGCGCGCCTACCCCATCCCTCCGCTTTTCAATCATCTCGGTAATGACCTATGCCGTGGTCTACTTGAGTTTGCCGAGGGAAAGCCTCTAGGGTCTCGCGGTCTCCAGTGGCTGAAGATCCAGGTCGCCTCCTTGGCTGGATATGACAAAGCCTCCCACGAGGAACGCTTGACCTATGCTGATGAACATTATGCTGACATTGAAGATTCTGTCGATCGTCCCTTTGAGGTAAGTCATTGTTTCGGTAAGGGCATGGGCTTGCATGTACTTTTTCTTACGCCTCTTACTTCACAGGGCAATGGTTGGTGGCTCAAGGCTGAGGATCCCTGGCAGTGCTTGGCCTCTTCCATGGAATTGGTCAACGCTATGCGGAGTGGAAAGCCCGAGGAGTATGTCTCCCACCAGCCTATTCATCAGGACGGAACATGTAACGGCCTGCAGCATTACGCTGCCCTAGGAGGGGATGTGGATGGTGCCATCCAAGTAAATCTCCTACCCTCTGAACGACCCCAAGACGTCTATACCGGTGTGGCTCGCTTGGTCATCGAGTCGGTCGAGCAGGATGCTAAGGAGAATAACCCCTCTGCCAGGGTTTTGCTTGGCCGGATCACTCGGAAGGTTGTGAAGCAAACCGTTATGACCAATGTCTACGGTGTCACCTTTGTCGGGGCCCGGGAGCAGATTGAGAACCGGATGCGAGAAATCGTCGGTATGGATGAGGACATTGCCAAGATCAATGCCGAGCTGGCAGAGTTAGCCCAGAGCCAGAAGGAGGGAGAGGAGAAGGTGGTCCCAACCCCTAAAATCACCCCGTACAGTGTCTCCCTCTACTTGACCAGCAAAGTCTTCCAGTCTCTGGACCAAATGTTTAGTGGGGCTCAGCAGATCCAGGCGTGGTTGAATGAGAGTGCCCGTAGGATTGCCAAGAGTGTGCCCGCCGAAACCATCGAGGAGATCCAGCGCCTTAAACAACAAGAAAAGCTCTCCTGCTCTCTTGGGGGCGAGCCCTTGCCCAAAGATGTAGTCAGGATTACCGTACCCCAAAGTAAGGCCATAACTTCGGTGGATACTAGACTACGACGCAAATCTGGCGTGTCCCAGCTGTATAGAGCACAATTGACCAAAGTAGAAGGTCTATTGAAGGTGATCCTTCGCCATACCATGAGCGAAAAGAAGGATATTAGTCTTCGGATTATCCCACTCCCGTTGGAGGATGATGCTAAGAAAAATGTACTTCGGGTCCGGTTCAAGTCCTATGGCCCCACCGTAACTAAGAGTAAACCCTGCTCGGATTCCGTAAAAAGTCCAATGCCCAAGCCGATCTCTTCCCTGCCCAGAAAGGATGTACGTCAACTCACTTCGGTGATTTGGACCACACCTTTGGGTCTCCCCATTGTTCAGCCCTACCGGAAGAAGATGGGACGCGTTATTCGTACGGCCCTCCAAGTGGTCACCATCAATGATCCAGATGTGGCTACCCAGGTCAATGTTCAAAGGCAACGGACGGCCTTTCCTCCCAACTATATCCATTCTCTGGATGCCACCCACATGCTTCTCTCCGCTGTGGCTTGCAGGCAACGTGATCTCACCTTTGCCGCCGTCCACGATTCCTACTGGACTCATGCCGCTGACATCGATACTTTGAACGCCATTCTCCGGGAACAGTTCATTCACATGCACTCTCAGCCCTTGATGGAAAATTTGTACAAGGAGTTTGTCGAGCGGTACCAGGGCTACAAAGTTCCTGCTTCCGTGTACATGGATGCCAAGACCGAGGCAAATACCTCAGAGCTAGAGACTGAAATGGACGATGATGACGAAGTAATGAGTACTGTATCATCCGACCTCGAGGGCACGAGGAAGCACTCCAAGACTGAATCGAACGCAAGGCCCAAGGAGTCCGTTGGCTCACGAAAAGCATGGGTCGACCTGGTCTTTGATCCTTTACCCCCACGGGGCACCTTCAATGTTAGTCAGGTGCAGAAGAGTACCTATTTTTTCCATTAATCAGGTTTGTGGGATGTGCGAGATGTGTTGCGTTGATGAGGAGCATTTTATCATGTTTTTCCATCCCTTCTCTTTCTTGTGGCTATGTAATGCCATCAAACGAAAAGTGGAGAGGGACAATATATTGATGAGTGTTTTTTTGTACACGGCTCTTCCTCGTTCTACAGAAAAGGGGAAAAGATTGATGGGTTAAGGGCATTACCAGACGGCACACTAAAATACGGTTGTTACTACGGGATATATCTAAGATGTAAATGATATTAATGAATCCGTTATATTTCCCCCAGAGAAACGAAACAGCCTTTTAGGTTCCAAGCACAGCACCTGCCTAAAAGACCGGCATGCGTAGTACTAGAAGCATTGTCCTCAATGCGTACCTTATACTCGAGGCTTCATGGACATCCCAGGCACTTAAAACTCACCTTCACTTGAGGAGATATCCGTCACCAGGAGGGCCATTCGATCAATTTAGAATATCTGGTGATCCGGAGGGGAGGGAGGAAGCATATCATCATCCTCTTACCATATGCGTCATGGGGTATTTGGGATGCTGATGATAAACTCATTTTATTTTTCCGATGAGGTAAGCATTTGGGCCTCCGGACGCATCATCACCTATAGGGCTAGCTTTAGCGATACATTAGTCAGGTATATCATCACCATTAAATATAGCGAATAACCTTTTATGAATTAACTTTTGATCGAAAGAAAAGATTTGATCGTCTAAATTGCTTGAAAAGAAACGTATCTGAGGATATTGGTACACATTATATATGTTCTTAAGAATAAATGAAAGATCAAAGATGCAGACTAACCCTTGTCCATCATCAATGAGGATTTTTTTTCTTTCAATTTTGGCATCTTTAAATGAAGGGCTTATAAAGCATGAAAATAATCCAGGTATAAATTTGCTAAAAGACGTATGACCAAAGGCGTATTTTTATAATTAAAAGCAAGTCAACAAAGTCTGGAAAGATGAAAGAATTGTCGTGAATGAATCCCCCCTAGATGAGAGAGGTATACCGAGAGTCGAAAGGGGGGGACGGATAGGGGACACAGAGTGAGGGCGGGATACGATGTGTGTGTGTGTGTGTGGGGATGAAGGGTGAGGATGATGATCCCATCCCTACTCATAGGGATGGGTATAAAAGGATGGATGTACGGGTGCAACCCATACTCTGGATCCGATGGCAGCTTTGCTCATTACATACTGACACTGCCATCCAGATTTAGTCCGTAACAATGCATTCATCCATAGCGATTAGTCCCACCCCTCATTGAGATCAAGACAATAGTTTTAGCAGAAACAACAGAATTGTATGTTCTGGTGGTGTAGTTGGTTATCACGTGCGCCTCACACGCGCAAGGTCTCCGGTTCGAACCCGGGCTAGAACATGTGCTTTTGTCGTATTAGGTGCATCATTATTTTTGTTTTTGGTGCTCGAGGGAATGAACTACCGCTATGGGGATGGCGAAGACAAAAAAAGCACGCCAAAAGAACAGAAATGGTGATAGGGATAGGAGAAGCATGGTAAAGACACACAAAGGCTTGTATAAAAGGACAAATGAACGCATAGAAGTAGAGGAGATAGCGAGTGATTAATCATCCTTGCTCATACTCCCTTGCCTCTCCACCGGTTGCTCAGAGGGAGGGAGAGGACCAGTTGAAGAAGTCTTTGTTCCGGTCATTACCCCAGTCTCGGAGGGGTCGGGGGTAATGATGGAGGAAGAGGAGGGCTCTTGAGAAGCCTCAGAAGGGGGAGAGGAGGGGTGATGGGGATCCCTCATCACCTCGTCCTTCTGTCCTTGCCAATCCTCAGCACTTAGACCATCAATAAACCTTTCCACCCTTTCCACCTCTCCCTCCCCTTCTCCTCCCCTCTCCTCCTCAGTGGTAGTGGATTCGGTCTTGGACGGGAGAGGGGAGGTGGAGGAAGGGGGAGGGTCATTCCCATCGGACTTGGAGGAACCCTGAAGACTCTGGAGGAGACCAGTCAACCGGACATCCACATCCTTGACCTCGATACCACAGACACGAGCAATGAGCCTCCGGTAAAGAACTTCCTTCTCCCGGCGCCTTCGCCCCTCATCTTCCTCCATTGAAGGGGAAGAGGAAGTCTCTTCTCTTTCTCCTCGGATCCGGGTGTAAAGGGAGCGAAGTTCAGTTTGTAACTCCTGCTCTAGGGATTCAGCAGCCTCAATTCTCTTGCGTAGGCTGTGAACCTGTTGCTCCAGGACTTGACCCTCCCTCTCACCCTGGGTGGCATCAGAGGCGATGACCCGACCCAGGTGTCTTTCCTCCCTCTCCACCTCGGCCACCTCCTCCCCGAGCCTACGGAGACGTTCCGCCTCTCTTCGGGCCTCGGCCAATTCGGCCGTGGCCTCCCTAAGCCTGGTTTGGGCATCGGTGGCCTCCCTTTCTTTGGCGGCAATTTCCACGCCAAAATCGGCTTCCATGGCATGGATCATCCGATCGACCGTGGCCA